TAGCTGACAATTTAGTTATAGCAACAGTGCAATTAATCAGATAGAAAAAGAAATTTGATTTCCTATACAATGAGCTATTTCTCTTTGCCTCATTGACCTTATTTCCAGCCAATCTGTTTGAAATTGCACAAGAATCATGCTAAACCCCATCTAGTATAATCAAGAAAATGAGGAAATATTCAACATATATCTTCCATTAGAAACCAGGCATCTAAATTCTCTAAACTACTTTGAAATCCCAGTGCTGAACATTTTACATTTTCCTTCACATGATTCACAGTCAGCCAATCCACTAGCTCATTAATGGCTTTATCATATTTCTATTTTACAATATAATAATATGTATGTACAGTTTCACTGAGCTGTGCAAACACTAGAAAATGTTTTTTGCATCCTTTGTTGCTTTTTAGGTATTATAAACCTCTTGCTAGTACATACTGAGCTCCTGTTTTAAAGATCACAAAGAGAAAGGGGATCACATCCTTGCATCACCGCAGAATTATGCAAGTCTTTCTACAAATTTAGCTAAAGATATTTTGCTTCTTACACAAAATTAAGGTCTTATTTCTTGAGTATTCACCTAGGTGGCCTCAACTGACTTCAGTAGTGGCCTGAGCATGACACACCTACAAGGTTATGTGCTTTTGATTTTGGAAGAGGTGCTGTGGAGCAAGCTGGAAAAAAGATCTTATAACCACAAAGCTTTTCAGTGCCTCAAGGCCATTCATCCTGGATCTAGATTTTGGCCTGGATCGGAACTCAGATCCATCAGCCTTGCTTCTTGCCTTGGCCATGGACCTGCCTCATTGTTGTGGCCTTGCTGGATGATCACTGACCTTGTCTTTGTCTCAGGACCATATCCTGACCTGGGCTTGCCACCCAGCAACCTGGCACCTTGTCAGTGGGGTCACTGCTGTCACTGGCTGCACTGACCCACTCACTCCCAGCTCACTCTTCTTTGCACAACAGCTGACCTAGACTGTAGAACTTGCTATATAAATCAGCAGCATGTTCAGAAATGAATGCAAACTGATTGTTTTTCTTAATGCATAAATGTCTTTTATAAACTGAGATCATCCTTCAACATGTAAATCGTATACACCAAACCACTTCTGCCACTAAGTGGGAGAACATGGCAATGAGGTAGAAAGAGACAGAGGCAATGAGATGTCCATTTACTGTTGACAATCCTGTAAGAAATCTTCAGAGATACAAAGTGTAGTCTGTGAACAAACAGCTGCCTCTTCCTGGGTCTGACTGTTTGCTGCTTTGTCCCTTGTGCTCTTGGAAGCTGTGAGAAGAGCTTGTACCTGTTCCCCATCTTAATCAAGTTACATGCCCTGCTGGCTTTGTTGTGATGGCAGCGGCTGTGGCAAAGGCCAGGACACTGGGGAGCCACAGCTGTGATATTGCTGCACTTTGAAGAGCATCAGAGAGCTGTGGAGGCCAGGGGCACCTCATGAGCTTGTCTGCCATGCAGTTGTACCAGAGCTCCAGCTTAAATGGCTAAAATGGCTGCCCACTTCATTATTTCAGAGTGAAAAATATAAATTAAAGGGAAAGATAAAAAAGAAAAAAAACAGTGTGTAGTATGTTACAGAAAAGTGGCTGGTGATTGGAAAAGCATTCAAACGTCCCTCCTCAAATGCATCCTTTTAAAGATGTGGCTTTCAGGAAGCTTGCAGCTCCTGAATGAGGGCAGCCCCTCATGTCACCCTCCTCACCAGGAATTCAACTCAAGTGCACTGAAAACCTGTCTCTCAAGACAGGACTGTCTTCTCCTGTGAGGACATGGTCCAATGCTGCCCACTCTCCATAATTTTCTTCACCTACACGTGCTGCTTCAGTCCTTAGCAGACACTGGAAAGGGACCAGATTTTTGCATTCTTGTGTTTTCCCATACTTATGACACCTTTCTTTGGCCCTGTGGTTGGGAAGGACCACACGATGAAGGCCTGGGAATCCATCTGAGACTTTCTTTGCAGGCCTTTGCAGGCCTTTTCACTGGTAACCCATTCTGGTTCTGAGACACCTCTGGATTTACCGGCCAAGCTCCAAAATCTCATATATCTTTTTGTTCCTTCCCAGAATATAGCAAGGGGCCTGAAAACAATGACCCTCGAGCTGGAATTCCACTGCCTGGAAACTAAATAAAGAAAAGAAAATCAATAAGCATGTAGACTGTTTCTACATCAGTCTGTGCTGGGTTTACAGGAAGATTTATTGAAGTGTGACTAACAGTAAAACAGAGCCTGACCAGCACTTTCGAATATCCTTTCAGATCAGTAAGTTTTTATTTATAGCCCTTCTCCCTTGGATAGAAGACGGGGTTTTTTTTTCCCTTCTTTCAACCAGATGGTTTCTTCCTTCTGTGTGTCTTTTTATTCATCAAATCATACATTTTATCATCATTACTGATATGCCATTGCAGAGCAGAAGCGGATTTAAAAAAGAAATTAAATAATCCAGGTGTACAAATTAAATATATGCCAGTCTCCGTCAGTCAGTTCAAGCTCCATGAAGCAAAACATATAGATCCACAATTTTTAACAACCATGTTTTCCTGAAGGGTGGCTGAAGCAGAGGGGTATACGGCATATACCTTAGAAGATGCATCATTACTGCGTAGAAGTTAAAAAAAAAAATGTATTGGTTCACTTGAACAGCTTTCATTCGTAGGTGCTGCTGTCACTATGTCCGAGTGAACATGGGGTGACATTTCTCAGCTGCCAGTCCAGCCACCATCGGAGCAGCGTGACTGGAGCTGGAGGCAGGACCTGGCTCCCAGATCTGGCTCCAGCCAAGCACCCCTGTCTGCATTTCCCTCAAAAAGAAGAATTGTTCATGTTCTCTGGGCTTTCCAGGCTGCCCATAAGCAAATATGTGCCCCAGGTTCTACTGGGGCTTGCAACATCGTGCTGCTGCACTGCCAATCCCCTCCACCCGTTTCGCTTGGGTCAGCACAGAAAGACCTCTGGGGAGAACGAACAAAAGCCAGTATCTCTTCTAATAGGGACTCCGGGGTTTTTTTATAGAGCTGCTTACCAAATGGAAATAACTGTGCTTTATTAGCTGGGACAATCTTATTCTCACTGCAATTGCAGTTGCAGGACTCAGAGCTTGTGACGGTGATCAAGTTGATTTCATGCCCGCGAGGCCCTCAGCTAATCTAACTGCATATTTGCAGGAAGCTGTAAATAAGTTGTTGTCCTACAAATCTGCTGATTTGTGAGTTTTTGAGCTGTTGCTTTGTTTTGGGGAGTTAGAAAAACACTGGCAAATATGGGCAAATCTCATAAGACAGTCCATGACTCTTAAGTTCTCGATCACAATAGATGCTGTCCCACTAGTTGTGAAAAGTATTTGTGGTCAGTGTGAGTGCTCTTAATGAAGTCAGCGTATCTACTTGAGCAAATGTACTCTTCTCAACATGAGCAAGAGCAAGCTTCAAAGAAACATTGAAAAAAAAAGCGATAAAGTATGAGTCATCTGTAAAATGTCAGGATGCATGATCTTTATGCAGCATGTAATTATTTTTATATACATGTTTAATTAACTTTTCTTTGTATTTCATCTGGGGCTACATTTGTTTGTCCTTCCCTTTGCTGAGTATAACGTCACACTGCTACAATGTCAATTACTATTTTGGCAGTAAAGAACCTTTGAGGAACAGAGCAACTAATGCATCTGCCTTGAAAAGTGATCTGAGCTGGAGTCTACAATCTGAAGGTTTTCTGCAGTGAAAATGATGTGTTCCTTAGCACAGCTTCCTCCTGCTCCAATATCAGCAACCCACAGCCGAAAGTCCTGCAGTCATCCTGTTGAGGGAGCACAAATACTTACTGTCATTTTCCTTCCTGCACTGAAGGAAATAAAGCCCTTTGCACGATAGTGCATTGATTTATCAAAAGCCAAAACCTATTTTCCTGATGATGAACCTCTGGCATCTAGCTAAGAGGACTGTGGAGAGGTACTAGATAAGATGAACACTCAAAGAAGACCAGTGGTTTTCTGGGCTGCATTCAGAAGAGCGTTGCTACCAGGTCAAGGGAGTTGATCCTTTCCCTTTGCTCAACACTGAGGCTGCACCTGGAGATTTACGTCCAGTGCTGCGGAACAAAGTCCAGTGCTGCCCAAAACAAGAGAGACCTGGACATCCTGGAGCAAGTTCAGCAAAGGGCTACAAAGATGATTAAGGATCTACCCCAATCATACATGGAGAGCGGGAGAACTAAGACTGTTCAATCTAGAGAAGAAAACACCTAGGGTAGATCGTATCAATAAATGGTGAGAATGTATGAAGAGGACAGGGCCAGACTCTTCTCAGTGGTGCCCAGTGTAAAGGCGAGAGGCAATGGACACTATTTGAAATGCAGGAAATTCCATTTGAACACAGGAAAACACTTCGCTGTGAGGGTGTCAGAGCACTGGTATGGTCTGTCTGGGGATGTCGTAGAGTCTCCATCCTTGAAGACATGCAAAACCTTGCTGGACATGGTCCTAGCAACCTACTTTAGGTGACCCTGCTTGAACAGTGGAGGTCGGACCAGGTGATCTGCAGAGGGTTCTCTCCAATGTCAACTATGCTGTGATTCTGTGAAATGGGAACCTGTGCACTTTAATGCTGTCTCCTCACGTCTGCTTGCGAAAGGGATTCTAGGAGAGGTGGTTATGTTTGCACTGGAATAGAGGTGCTTTGGAACCCTTTACACTGAGGTACCAAGAAGTGCTGTAGAAGATAAGATTATATGAAACCATCTTTTAATACCGCTTGTAGAAACACAGGAAAGTGGTCCTCAATCAGGAGGTTAGTGAGGATTGCACCTGGAGGTTATTGGAGGCAGCTGAGGAGGCAAAAGAGGCTGGAACTGGGGTAAGGGCAGAGAGTTTTTCCCCTGGTCTTCTGTCTCAGCAGATATAAATCCGAGACAAAGTTACTGAATTGTTTTCACTGGGGAGAAGAAAGAAACTCCTCTCCCTTCAGAGATGAAATAAATGTTAGGAGTTGCCTTTATTGCTAGGAAAAGTGTTTTAGATTTTTTTTTTAATAATTTTTTTTGTTAATTTTTTTCTCTCTCTCCTATTTACTCAAGAGAAAAGCTTAATGATCTTTTCTGGAAAGGTAAGGTGTAAAGTTGTGCTCTGAAGATATAGTTTACTTATGAAGGGTAAAAGAAGCCCATAGCTTTCCTATGTATTGGAGCTTGAGGCAGGAGGTAAAGAAGAAATTTTGCCTCCTTGTAATAAATTATAGTATTATGTTCAACCATTAATATACTTAATACTGTTGTATTAGAAGAGAGCTCAGTGAAAAGCTGTAGCATTTTCTCATTTAAATGTTCATGCGCTATTTGCATCTCCTGTGACTGCTGTCATTTGAATATGTTGTGCATGTGGCAAAGATCCTAACTCACCTGGATGGCAGGTTAGCCTCCTATCCTCACCTGGTTAACCCCTCCTGGTTAACCACTGTCTTCAATTATGTTTTCTGAATAACATCTGTGTTACAGAGTTTGCTTTTCTGAATTCGAGTGTTTGATTTCTCTTCCGACAATTTATTGGTCTCATTTTAGGCTTTTCTTTAGTGTTCTCAATACTTGCTTACTGACTGTTATAATCTTCAATTTACAGGAAATGTGAAAATTTTCATTCTTAACTGTCTAGTTTTGGTGTGTCTTTAGCTTTTGTGTCTTTTAAACATGAAACTTTATTATATGCATTCTTTTGCAGATGACTTGTGAAATTTAGGAGTTTTGACATTGTACCTGTCTTTGCCTAAGATGTCTTTCTTCCTGCTCTCTATGGCTATATCATGTTTCCTTTGTGTGAGGTCTTTTCCAATGTTTTACTAGTTTTAGTTTTTGAAAAGCAAAGTAACTCTTCTGCATGCGTGTTTGTTCACTGAGACTGGAAATGCATTGGAAACCTCCCTTTTTCTTGCTGTCTTGTGACAAAGAAGGAAAAGTATGAGGCAATTCTGTCTGTTATATTAGTGTTTCTAGACCTACAGCACAGAGAACTAAATTCACTATTACTGCTAACAAAACTATTTTTTTCTCTTTATATAGTGACTTTTATTGGCCTATCTCCATGTGTTTGTGAGATGAATAGTGTGCTTGGATCTCACCTCTTTGTATTAACACTGCGTACCATAAGTAATGACTTAATCTTTTTTTGGAAGAAGCTAACAAGCCTTTGGCAAACTGTGCCCTGCACAAAGATCTTTACTCTCACTTATAAGAAAGTAAATTAGGAATTTTGTAACTGCAAGACCTGAACAGGAAAAATGGAAGCTGTGTTAAACTTGCCAAGGTATCAGGAAGAACAATCTTTTTCTGCCTATAGAAACAAGAGAAATGATCAAATGAACATTTAAAAATTTCTAAATATCCCATGTTTACCAGTCTTTGGTTCACTGCTTCCTGAAAGATATTTGTCCTGTGCATTAGGCACTGTAGGAAGTTTAATAGAGGTTGAAAACCATTACAAAGCTGAGTGGGTGCATCTGAGTGACCACAAACAGGATGAAAGATAAGGTGTTGCAATTTCTCACAGAGATGGGAAAAGCCAGAAACCTTGATTTGAAAGTCAGTTGTTGTTTTTGAATTCAGAGTTTGGATCTGTGTTTTACATTTCACTCCACTGTACATTCAGTGTGTGCTTGATAAGATTTAGTCAAACCTTTCTTCAAGTTTAAGCAATTTTTTTGCAGTAGTTCTTCAGCTTTCCCCAAAGGTTTCACATGAGTTTCCAAAACTGGAAACAACTGTCCTACTACTCCTTTCTCTTCCCCTACTTTGCTTTGGGAGCATGTGGCTCTTCTCTGTGAGACATGAAAATCTGGGATCCTTTGCATGCAAACCTCTTCTTGAAAGCACGGGAACTCAATATTCACCAAGCAGAATACATCCTGTGAGAGCTGCTTGCTGAATAAGGTGCCAGGCAGCTGCAGTGTGCTTTTCCCCAACGGCATGAAGTATTGTCAGAGGAGGAATCTGTGGAGAATTGCTTGTCATCTGATTGCATTATTTTTCAACCACATGAGCAGTAAATATTTAAAATCTGGTTGTAGGCAATGTAACAGCTCCGTAAATCTGTGGTTTTGAACAGAAGTGAGAGGCTGATCTTAACTTTTAAGAGGAAACAAATACATCTCTATTTGCATAAACTGTCCTCCTCCCTGTTCCATAAGGAGGAATAGGTTGCAGCAATTCTGCTGCTATGAATGAAGGTGGAAACTAACAGGAGAAAAGTTGTTCTGTGTATTTATTGCAACTGCCTGGCTATCCACTATTCTTTTCCATATGTCAGATCAAAGTATTACATCAAAGCCCAGTAAAGAAAGGCAGGGCCTGAGAAAGGGGACTGAACAATTCAATAGCTTCTTCCTATTTTTTCCCCTGAAAGAGAAACCATGGATGATGATGGAGATGGGGAGCAGTCTGGGAAGGCCTTAGCATTCGGGCAGGTACTGCCCTTGGCGCCTGCTCTCTGTGGACCCCAGCTCTGGCTCCTGCTGAAGTCCACAAGTGAAACTGGCCGTACATTCCAGCTTTGCTCATTGGAAAGGATCCTTGGAAATAACATTTATGAACTCGAAACAGAAAAATCCCCTTCACCTCTGGAAAGCAAGAGAGTCCCATGAGCTGAGGGAATACTTTGCTTTTTTGCTTGTGTGCTTTCTCCATCCCTAGTAGCCTTTCTTTATAAGATTGGAAAGATGAACTGAGTCACTGATTGGCAGCTAATGTTTCACTGTTTTTATTCTTACTAGGTTGTTTGTTTATTTTCATTATAACATCATATCTAACTTGACTGGTTCATGTAATTTGGTTTTATGGGAGTATCTAAAATTGGTTAATGGTAGCCCAGATTCACAATTCAGACCTGAAGAAGCGAGGCTCATGAGTTGAGGCAGCAGTAGTGGAAGAAGTGCAAATGATCTGTGGAGGTGGTTGAAAGATAAATGCACTTTTGAATACAAATAGACTTTCAAGGGTAGGAATAAATCCAGTCCTACTTTGATGTCCTGTGTTATGATTAAATTAGATCTTGCGACTTTGGAGAGAGCTTTGAAAGAAAGAAGTACTCCTGGCATTTACTGAAGAAAGATCTAGAATCTTAAATTAAGTGATGCTGAGCTTTAGTTGTTGAGCAATGCAGGTAGGATCTAGTTTTAAATGAACCCAACCGGCTTTTCTGTTTAGTTCCAAAAGTGTTTTCTGTATTTTGTGCAAGTAGTTTTATGAAGTGCTTGCAGTTGAGAAGGGACATGGTGATTTGACCCGTGTGGCCTGTTTCTTCTCTGCGAGGCATAATTACTAAAGATCTGCAAACACAGAAATGATTAGCAAAATGTTATGGGGCATGCTGCAGATTATACCCTTGCTGTTTCTAAAGTATGTTTAGTGAACAAAATCCCTAGTGGTCATCTCAGAACAGGCTACTATCAGAAAATTCTTTACTTACTGAGACAAGTTTCCTTTTCAAAAACCAGCTGAGGCAGAGTAGAATATTTATTACGTGTTTGGCAATATCCTTCTGCCTGAGGGATGGACTGCAATTATAGTGTGGTAAATATTTCATTAGAACAAAGCAAAATGGCATGTGAAGTAGCCTTCTCTTTATTTAAAACGTTTATTAAAATACAATGTTAGAATCTACATGGGAATAATTCTTTCTACCCAATCTACCAACTTAGCTACAATTTTAGGCAAGACACTTTGATATTACAAAACCTTGCATATTGCTGTAATCAATCTTTCCCTCGGAGAAAGATGGATGTCTTAATACAAATAGATTAAATTTAGTATAGTCTAACGTCCCCTAGATCATTCCGATTGCAAGAAAGATTTAAAAGTGGGGTACCAGTAGAGTTTCGTTTCTGTGTAAAGCCTCTTCTCTTCAACAGAATTGGGCAAATGACTTTTAAACGCAAGACTTGTGCAAATGTGAAGTATTCATTTCACTATGCATAACGCTTTGTGCATTGTACTGGGGAATAATGCTCTACTTTAAGTACCTCCGACTTCCATTTATTTTAAAGATGAACTCTTTCTTCAGCATCCAGAGAGTTCTGGGGAAAGGCACAGTGGCAACCAGTTTTTGAGCACCTGCCCTACTGCAGGAATTTCCTTGCTGAACAAAGGCAACGTGGAAGAGCAGCTATGAAGAGTGAGATCCTATTGAATACTAATCTGGCAATAACTTTTTTATAAAGGGTCACAATTATTTGATTCTGACACTGTATACATGACATTTTCTCATGTACCACTGCTAATCTCTTAACTGACTTTCCCATCTTCAGTTGCCCCTGATGCTCAGGAATAAGCTTGCCTGTCCCTGGGCCAGATGCACAAGGACAGGCCTGTAGGAGAGGCTGCCAACCCCATTGCCATGACCTGAAAGGTGATTTTTAACAGAGAAAAATCAACACATAAGATTTGTCTCATGTTAGTAATTTGAGGATATTCTATTGTCTCATTCATATGCTTTGTCCTAATACTCATAAGAAAAAGAAGTCCTGTGTCTCATAGGATGCAAGTCCTGAGTTCTCATAAGGACTTCTCCAGCAACACTGGAAAACTGAGACACTGGAAAAAATAACGTATGGTGAAACTTTCCTCTAGAGAGCTCTTATTATTCTTGATATTACAAGCGTACAGATGCTGAAAAGCTGTGTCCCCTTTTTAAAGCCATAGCTGTTTTTCACTCTGACAAAAGGATGCAGCAGTAAATCTGCACTGGGGCATAAAATTGCCGTTCATTGCGTATGGTGAGAGATGGCTTCTGAAGATCATCCTCAGTACCAGTGTCTGAAATGCATATAGATTACATATTGAGTTTCCTTTGAGTGGCCTCCAAACTCTGAGGAGGAGGCTTGAGAGCATTCTGGTGCAAATCAGAAAAGCAAGCAAGTCTTCAGAGCGCCCTGGGGGACCACAGTGCAGAGGCCCTGACCAAACAGAAACCAGAGCCAGCACCTTGACACAGGACAGAACAACTGAGCCCACAGAGACTGCTGTGCTCCTGTTCCCAGCCCAACCAGCATGCTGGCAGGAGGGAAGCTGTGCCTTGCTCCCTGCTGTCCCCGCTTCTCGATTTAGCAAAGACAGTGCCATT